AGAAATCTTTAGGTTTAGAATTATTTTTCTATCTGTAATAAAGTTTCTACTATGGCATTATATAAATAAAAAAAAAAAAAAAATAAGTAAAAAGGTAAATAGAAAATTTTTTTGATAAATAATACAAATATTTAATTACAATATTTGATTACTTATGATATAATTATTAACTAAAACAATTACAATATATGTATTTCAAATAATATTGATCTTTAATCAATAAAATTGAGTATTTGAGTATTTGTGATATTTACTAAAAATTTTTACTTGTCATTTTCAACTAATTTTGTAAACCATGATAATATATAAATATTTATACTTTTGCAAAAATTTTTAAACCAAGTCAAAACATATTCATGAAATTAAATTCTCTAAAATAATTTCTGAATTTGTAAAAATAGCTCAAAAAAACCAACCTTCAAAGTAAATAAACAACATAATACATACCATCCTTACAAACTTTTGCCAATTACTTCCATGATTAATTTATATATAAGTAATACATCTGTTTCTAATATTGCTTACAGTTCTTCTGCTCCACCTACTGTCGGTTCTCTTGCTCTACCTATCATCAATTCTTCTGTTTTACCTACTGTTGATTCTTCTGCTCTACCTATCATTAAACCTTCACCTTCTAAATTTTCATCTTCAACTATTAAACCTTTATATTTTATTATTGCATCATCCTCTGATTCTATTACAAAATCTGATTTAGTAAGTGATACTAAATATTGAGAATATTAGTGATATTGAAAATATTAATGATAAGAAATTTTGGCCTAATTATACAATAAAATTATTGCTTGCATATCTTTCAGATCATCTGAAAGATTATCAATTTAAAAAAAATAATTTTATATTAAAACAGCTCTTTATCTCAGAAAGAGGAAAATCAGATTACAAGTTGCAACCAAAATTAGATAGTTAATTAAGAAATACATGAAAGAAAATGCTAATAAAATGGGCAAAAGTGCATCAAAATAAGAATTTTTTATAAAAATGAATGAAATATTTGGAAACTGAGAAAATATAAATCTAAAATATTTAATTGATAGTACAGAAAAGGCAATTTGTATTTATTATTATTTACTTGTCATATATATTAATATATATATACATATATATATATATATAGTGCAGAAAATTTAAAAACCTCAATTTCTATATTAAGGTGATGCATAAACTAGTAGCTTATTGAAAAATTATTAATCTTAATAAAGTGATGGGTATAGAAATAATATGTAAAAATAATATACACTTAATTGAAGATGTTTTATACATATGGCTGAAACTTAAAATAAGCTGTTACTTAATTTAACTCTAATGTGCTAATCATTTTTTGTTCTATATAAAGTGATTAAGGTTTTTAGATCTCTTGCACTATACGTATATATATACATAAATATCTCAAAGTTCTTAATTTTTTTTTTATCAATTCTGTATTAATTTTTAATAGGTTTTCAAAAACATCAAACAACCAGAAAAGATCATTTATTGAAAAGAAGAAACATAGTAAGTTAAGATAATGAAATTTACATTCAATCAATGATCACAATTAATAAAAGTAAAAAGTTTTTTGCACAAACAAAACTATTACAATATGATTTAGAAAGTGAAAAATTCAAATATCAAAAAAATATTGAATTGAAAAATATAAAGTTAGAAAAATTTAAATTAAAATTAGAGCATAAAATGAAAGTTGAATTAAGTATAAAGAGTTGAAGTTAAAATATAAGTATAATATAGAATTAAAAGAAAATTTAATATAAATATATATATGTAACTTTACTAGAATATTTTTTGTTAGTTTAGTTTATTTTCACTTAATGTTTTTTGGGTTTTTAGTTAAAATTTTTAAAAGTTTAGTTAATTTGATAACTTTAATTAAACTTAGTTATTTCAACTATTATCATAATACATAGATATAACTGTATAAATAGTTATACAAACTTGATATGTACCTATTTTTGTTTTAATATATAATTTATAGCATTATAACTAGATACAATTTCTAAACTGTAATAAATAAAAGTTTAATCTATCAAATAAATAATTGTTGCAGCTAAAACTTGAATTTTTATTGTGTTTTTTTAAGCTATTGAACAAGAGCTTTAAGTAAATAAAAAATTTATTCAGCATTTTTGGTATTTGTGACTTGATTTTAAATGGGTCTGACAATAATTCTGGATTATAGATATGTATTACAAGTTATCGATACTGGTTTTGATTCTTTATTTGTGACAAGATTATTTTAATTATTAGTAATTGTATGAACCTAGTTATCTGAATGTAAGACGCTTGAAAAAGCTAGATTTTCTCTTTGTTCATGATAGTTATTTTCAGATGGCAGATTAACAGAACGTGCTGTCTAAGAACAATTAGAGTTATTACTCTCAAGCTTTTTAATATTAATAGGAAAATTTTCATCATTAGAAAATTTTTCATCATTAGAAAATTTTTCGTCATTTATTTAATTAATAGTTAAATTAGATTTTAGGGTTAGTTTTAATAATAAAAGTTCCTGATTTCAAGTCTCAGCTATTTCAAGCTTCAGCCACAACAATAATTTTCATGATAAGAATCTTTTATTTATATAATTATTAAATTTTGAATATAAAAAGTGAATAAAATAATAAGTATTTATAAAATTAATAAGTTTAATAGCTTATTTTAAATACTTAAATTAACAAATATTCTTTATATCACATACTAGATTAGTGTTATTAAGTAAAAATTAGAGGTTTTGCCACAAACGAAAGCCAAAAAAAATTAAAATAGCACAACTTTGGTGCAGTCACGTTTATATGATAAGCCATCAATAATGCATAATAATGTTTAATACTTAATACTACAGTAGTCGCAAAAAAGATCTAGAAAAATAATATACAAAAAAGTTTTCTGTATTTAAAAATGATTAAATTATTCTTTAATTTAGTTCTATAAATTATAACGATAAGATTATCAAAATACTGTATATATTATTACACTGGTAGATAATCTATTACCAGATCTTTTTTTAAATATTATCAATTATACTATTCTAACAAATCAATATTCAAAATAAATTAACAAGAAATAAATTAACAAGAACATGTTTCGATTGTTGATCAATGAGTTATATATGAAAGTTTCAGGTTTGTATTAGACCTAAAGGTTTACAAATTTAGCATGAACACCATATACAAATAATTTTTTTAAAGTTATATATAATTAGATCTACTATAAAAATATAATCCTGAGTTTGTTCTAAGAATGTTTTTCTTGTTTTTCTTGTTTTATACTGATAGTAATTGCTAATATAAAGATAAATTGGTCTATTAATATTTTTATTTTTGCCTGCTTTTTATCAATTGTATTTTGGGAAGAAATGCAGGTTTTAAAATTTTATCATTAATATACTAATTTTAAGTTTAACTCAACATAGTTTTATAATGCCTTATTATCTAAGTAATTTAAAAGTCAATTAAAGAACTTAAAATCATCTGAACAAGCAAAATGTTTTTTTAAGAAAGCCTTAGAAATTAAAAACTTTGGCTATATAAAAATTCAGTTTATTAATTTAGATTAACAAAAAAAATCAAAATTTCAATTACTATTTAATGCAAAACAAAAAATTATATAGCTTTATATTAGTTGAGTCCAAATGAAGACATATATTTAAAGAAACTTTTTATAGAATATGTATTTAAGAAGGTTGAGAGATCTATTTATATTCATAATTTTTGTAATTGGAACCAAACTATACATAAATGCTCAATTATAAATTTATTATTCAGATTATATATATAACTTTGCTAGTAAAATCACTATTACATTATAGTGAATTATAACATATAAGAGTTTTTCAAACTTAATGTATTAAATTATATAAATAAATAGAGTCAAATACTAAATATTTATACAAATTAAAAAATTTATTTAATATGCAAATTAATAATTCAAAATATAAAAATAGTTATATAAAAAAGTAATTAAAATAAGTTAATTTTTAAATTAATAATTTAATAGTAATATAATATAAATTAAGAATATAATTATAACTCTTTCTGACAATTACTTGGTCAACAACAATCTACTGAACTACAGTTAGCAATATAGAAAAGCAACATAGTAGATACAACAATATTCCTAGTTTTGTGTTAAGCAAACTTGTTGTCAATGAAGTCTACAATATGTGAAATACCAAAGAGTAAACATATAAGAATATTAGGTGGATTTGTATTTTGGGTCAAGTTTTCCTTTCTTTAACAGTCTCTCTAGCACATTCAGCATTCAAACTAGAAGGTTTATTCTAGAAACAAGTAGAGCAAGAGTCTCTGGACAGGAATATCAAGTAGATACTAGGAAACTGGACTATATAACTGTAAAACTTACAAGAAGAACTTTATATATTTTCGTTGACCCTTCACTTTTTTTTTAGAAAAAATTTTGTAAAAAAGTAGACGATTTAGTTTACTCCCTCTAAAAGATCAACATATTGTTTATTTACCAAATTGGTTGGCATTGTTTACTTTTTTCCTGTCACAACAAACATGTGAATACTTATAAAATATGAACATATAGATTATATGCTTTGGAAGTAGTAATCTAAACAAACAATACTTCAAGACCAATAATGCAAACCTCTAACCTCTTTAAGTACTGATAAAAGGAATCAATTTTTCGATTTGCTCTTGTAAACTATTTCTTTAATAAGGTGCTGATGTCAAAGAAGCTGTTTTTTCCCTTTAGGGTTTTTTGCTTAAATATATTAATTAGATGAATTAGAGTAAAGACTAGTTTAGATAGTATATAATTTTACAAAGCCTGATATAGGCTTATAATTGTGACTATCCGGTGTAAGTAAAAAATCTCATATTTTTTTTTTGTTTTTTTTTTACTTCTTTCTTTTCTTGTTTGTATTTTTTATCATATCCTTCTATACCTCAGTGTTTTTTTTTTATATAGTTTTTCTTTTTCTTTCACTTCTCTATAAGAAGATATTATCAGATTAGTGGTATCCTATTATAGGATAGTGGGTTGGACAAGCTCTCTGGCTAGGGTATTACCTTTTTGTTTTTATCTCACCAGTGTGGCAGATTACTAATGAGCACTTGTTAGAGCAGCTGTGGGATGTTAAAATATTAGTTTTAATGTCATAGCAATAAACTTGTAATCTCCCACAAAATTGAAACTTTATTAAATATTAATTATTAGCGCGATTTTGTCTAAGTGAAAAAAAAAGTAATATAATATAAATATAATAAAATATAAATCTAATTATATATACTAAATAAAACTATTAATATCTTTAAAAAATATATATTAAAAAGTTATTAAAAAAATAAGATTAAAAAAAATAATTATAAAAATAAACATCAAAAAATTTGAAATATATAATTTTTTAAGAATAATTTAAAATAATTTCTAATAGATTTTGTTGTTAGATTTTAGCATATTTCTCTTTCTATTGTTCTATTTATTTCATCTTCATCTATTATTTAATCAACTAAATCATTATCTTCATTTAGTTCTAATTCTATTACATTATTATTTAAATTATTTTTTTCTAAATATCATTATGTTTTTTAACAAAATTATGTAAAGTTATTGCTATATTAATAAGATCAGTTGCTTTTTTTGTATTTTTTACTCTTATTTCTTCTAAAAAAGGAAATTAAACTTTTAAATAACCAAAAGCCTGTTCTACAACAACTCTTATTTTGCTATATGCTATATTATAATGTTTTTGTTTT